CGGCTCAAGGTTGCCTCAGCCTCCCATCCTTCCGCGGTGGGTGATATGCTGACTCTGTAAACCGCTTAGAGAGGGCTGAAAGCCCTATGAAGCGGTATATAAGTCTAACTGCTATTGCTATTGCTAAATGCCAAAGCCCACTCATCCTGACTTTCTCCAAGCAGGTCACCTGATCAAAAGGGACCCCAACTGTGGTGTGAACATGCATCTGTTGGAACATGTAGTTGCACTCAAATCCCTTTTGATCGCCTTCTTAGTGTCCCCTCTGGTGCACTCCCCTTCGGCCACTCCAGCTCAGGAAATAACAGCCCTGGGACACAATTCCTGATGCCCAGCTCCTCCCTCAACCTTGGCTAACTCCAGGCTTCTCTTTCCCAGCCTCCGAAGGGCCAAGGAAGAGAAAGGGGTGATCTACAAGCCCGCAGTCACCAAGGAGGAAGAGGAGGAGGAGGAGGAGGAGAACATCTCCAAAGCTTAAACCTCTGCAGTGCTCAAGCTTTACATATCCTTAACAGCTGGATGAGCCAAGCGTTGGTCTCTCTGTTTATTGGCCAAGTTGGGTTTCTGGATCCCTTGGGTGCAAAGAGAAGAGGGCGCTTCTCCCTTCTGTACAGGATTTTAATGGGCGGAGACAAAGATCTCCCTCCAAAGAATCAAATAAATTCTGGGAGAGTTCTGGGCTTTGCTTAGGATTATAGCACCTAAATGTGATATTTATGAATAATCATAATAATCTGCCTCAGAAAAGCTACTGTTTATCTACTGAATAGATGAATTTCCTTCCTGCCCCCATAAAATAATTACTGCTGATGTTAGGAATAGATCACTAGGATACTTAAGTGTTTATGTTAAGGTCTTACAGCATGGATTCTCCAAACCTGGCAACTTTAAGCCTTGTGGGCGTCAACAGTCATAAAAACGGCATATAAATATAATAAACCTAACAGTCCTCCGCATGGCTGGCCGAGTTGAAGTCTTAAAGTGGCCACGTTTGGAGACCCCCCTGCCTTAAAGGCATAATCCAGTTCTCTTTGAAGTCCTACTGATTTTAGCAGGAATTACTTGTCTTTTTCACCTCTTCTATTTAAGTCTAAAATAAGCTATACTAAACCTGACTTCTAAGGATTACGTGGAGATGGAATGGTGGCTCTGGGCTGTACTTGGGTCTCTGGGACTGAAGACCGAGCAACTCAGGTTTTAAGAATTGTGCCAGGCTGAAGGCAGCTACTCCAAGCAGAGAATGGGCAAAAGGAAGGTCAGATGAAATACTCTTAATACTATCTACTCTGAAATCAGGGGGAACTCATCTTATTGGAGGGCTCCAGGCGTTGATTCCTTCCTACAGTGACTTGTAAGGAACTTGCAGGTTTGAAGAGTCTCTTATGATGGTCTCCTAGAGATAATGTGCAATTTTATGTATCATCGTACAATACATATTTTTATTAAGACTTTTGAGTTTGTGTCTTTCTCTCGCATACAAATGCACCGAGGAACACCAAGTGAAATTCTATTCTTGGTTGAAGGCCAGACTATACACTTTGCATTTTCTGAACTATCCATCAAGTTCTCCAGCACTCCTAAACCACAACAGAGACTTTTAACATCAAAATTGTTAGGTAAAGGGTACCAAAATAGTCACCTAAAGGGTTTCAGAACACACATCTTGGATCTCAGCGAGAGCTACACCTTCGGCTGCAGACACCTCCAGAATAAGCACCTTCCAACACACTCCAGAATTACCCCAAACTCAGGGATCTGCATGAAATCAGGATACACGTTTCTCAAGGGGTGGGTGGAAGCCACTGCTCCCCCAGCTCTTTTCAATGCAACTCGGGGCATCTCACTTGGCAGGAGTGCCAGAGGAGCTGGGCTGCCCCCCCTAGGCATTTTATATCAAGATGGCTCCTTTATTCTACAAGATGGGAGATTCAGCCCTGTAAGGCAGAGATCCTCAAACTGTTTGAACAGCGGGTCGATTCATCGAAAAACATCTTAAAGGCTGTTTTTAAAGACTTTTAAAGCACTTCTTTGCAAGCTGGCAGCTGCTTTTCATCCCACCACTCCACGGGCTGATACTTTGCATTGGCCGTCTGCATCCAGCCCAGCGGCCGTAGTTCAAGGATGCCAACTGTAAGGTGAAGCACAAGCTTTTTCAAATCCAACCAGCAAAAAGCAAGCAAGGCAACTGCAGAATTGAAAACACCTGAAGCACAGGTAGGTCTCTAGGCCAGTATCTTGCCACCTTGGCAACTTTAAGATGGGTGGACGTCAACTCCCAGAACTACCCAGGCACCTCTGGGGAATTGCCCAGCCTGAGGTCCACCCGCCTTAAAGAAAAACTTTGGCCCAGACAAACGCAGCCTTCGCAGTCCTTTCCCCCCCAGCCAAGATTTAAAACTTAAACCCGTGTTTACACAAGGACTTAACATAAAGCACATTATTATTAATGATGATTAGGATGACTTAAGGAAACTAACCACAATTCAAATTAGGAGCCGGCAGAAAACCAAAGAAGTCGAAAGAGAAGGGAGGAGGAGGAGGAAAGGGGAGCCAGGGGGGGTGGATGGTTTCCCTTTGGAGGAAACTCGTCCTTTTCAAAAGC